CTGATCAAGGCAGAAGACTCAGATTCCTGTGGAGGGGGTGGGGGAGGGGAGAAGCTCAAAGAGCATCACCATACTAATGATAAACCGAAAGCACCATCCTTAGTCATGAAGAATGACACGATCATTATATAGTTTGAGGAAAACAAGAAAATCAAAAGAGGCCAAGTAGGCTGAAAAGAGTAAGATAGCGAGTCCTTTCGACCCATTAGAACCCACTGTGTTATGGTCACTGAAAGCCTCTGTGCAGAGATGCCCTAAGGCCAACCTATTCAGCCATTGTTGAAGAGGTGAGAGAAGAGGGCTGGAAATGCTCATCTGGGAGTAAACTACAGGGAGGTGGAAGCCAATGGCTGCACTGATGTTTTCCATGGAGAGGGGACGAAGGAAGAAGTTAAGGACTAAATAACGGAGATGTAGGATTAGATATGTAGGGGATGGAACAAGAGCAAGGAACAGATTAAAGAGAAAGATGGCCTGGCTTTTTTTTTTTTTCTTCCCTCCCATCCCTTCCCCTGCCTTCCTCTTCCTTCCCCTCCATATTAGAGAGCAAATGTCTCTCTGATATTCCAACAGTCTCTTCAGTTTTCTTCGTTTTTACTACTTTTACTTAAACCACCCACAGGCTTTGCTCATTCTTTCAGCGGTTGCCTTTGAGTGAGGAATTTGCTCTTACTCAGACTCAGCATGAACTGCATTAGAGTCAGCACCAAATCAAGGGAAAAGGGACACCTAGGGATTAAGCCTTGAAAACCTGTCCACTACAAACCTGTCCCAATGGCTGGGAGGCAAACAGATGAGTAATTCCGTCTTTCACACTCCTGCAAAACACAGGAAACTGATTTCTTGACATCATTTCCACCAATGACGTGAATAATATTCTTGCACTTCAGTAATCCACCTTCAGTAATTATATAACCATTGTTGCTCTGTTGACCTAAAAAACACAGAACAAAAACATGCAAAATCAGATGCTGAACTCACTCTTTGTTTGGAAAGCAAAATGTCTGGTTTGGCAAATGAAGCACTTTATGTGAATAAGAGACTCCTAAAATGCTACCTTTGATGAATCTTTCTTGTTTAATTTTTTTTTAACCGTGGCGTCACCCTTGAATTTTTTTCACTTCTAATTCTCTATGACTGGAATTCTTTAGTAAAATGTATGATTTTAAAATTAACGTCTTGTCTCCCCAGTCCAAAGACTTTCTTCAGCCTCTCCACAGCCTCCCATAGTTAGCTTCCACTTAAAATTTAGGACCAAAAACAGCATTGTGCCTTACCTAGGCGAATACATTCTGTTTCCACATCTTTTCCAGCATGTTCCAAAATTGCTTTGGAGACCCCTACATGAGAACATCGAGATGGTTAAAAACACAAATAAAAAAAATCACAACAGTACATTTGGATCAGTGCATTTACCTCATCTAAACACTTTCCCTATCATCAAAGGAATCCTATAACCTCGATATTTCTGGTCACAAAAAAAGAAAAATTCATAAAATAACTGTTACCAATAGTGAGAAACCATGTCGAAATAATTTTAAAATTATTAATTAATATTAATAAGACAAAGCTGTAGAAACCAATTTGGCTATGCAACTGTAGAATAGTCTAGCTATAGAAACTCTCCTTCATGGGATCTACTGTGACTATAACACTAGTCAAAACCCTATAAGTAAAGTACCTGCTTTGAGAATAAATGTCTTTGATGTTGAATTTACAATCACATCTGCCTCTTCTTTTGTAATATCTCCAGAGGCCACCTGGAAGGTGATGGGGCCAATTTTCATTTCATGCACTCCTGAAGAAGTGCTAGAAACAGTCCCATAGAAACCTGAAAAGAATAAAAAAAAAATGGAGTTAATAACTAAGTCAACAACAGCAAGAATGACTTAGGTCTCAAGTTCCTCACATGGGCCCCTCCATACTTCTCTTTCTCTCTCTCCCTCTCTCCCTTCTTCTCTCTCTCATCTCCTGCCTTTAACCTTGGCCGCAGTGATGGTCTGTTTTTGAAAAAGAATTATAAAATATAATAGGTACCAAACGTGGACTTCCGGTGCTGGCCAAGTTGAAGTTAGCCCACTAGAAGTTATCTTGCTCACTGATGACAACTAAAAACATGGAACAAATACAAAAAACCACTAAGTGAGACTGAAGAGTAAATGACAGCAGGCAGAGTTTGGGGTGAGGGGAGTCAAAATCTGAAGAGGCAACCTGTATAGAGAGTAGTTTCTCATCTTGTTTTGTTTTGAAAATTTTCCTCTGTTGTCTCCCAGCTTTGACCCAAGGGTGGCCCTAGCTGCAGAACTGCTCAATGAGCACTGGCACCAAAATTCTCAGAGGATTCCTGTCTTTGTGGCCAGAAGATTGAGAACAGGGGTCCCTGTGAAGATTGAGAAGATTATGGCAGGGATCCTCTTTATTATCCAAATTTATTTCTTTTTTAACCTAGGCTCTACCCCAAGGTAACCCTAATTGCTTAACTCCACAGTGGCACCATATGGAGCTAAAACTCTGAGAGTCATTCTGTATTTCTATCCAGAAGAATCAGGAATAAGAACCCTTGTGGTCTGATGAGTGTATATATGTGTGTGTGGGAAATCTCTGTGATCTTTTCTCTCTATTCTCTCTTTACTTTGCCCAAGGGCAAACTTGATCACACAAAATTATGAGGCAACAGAACAGGCAGCTTCCCCTCCAAGGGAACCCTGTCTTTCTGGCAAGAGGAACTAGAAAGTAGGCTCCTGCAAGCCAGGGAGTGTAAAGGGGATCCTCGCAAGGGGCGAGCTGGAGAAAGTGATCGCCACTCTGTGTGTGAACTGGAATAAATCCTGAGCCTGCCCCAGAGCCACGCATGTTGGGGCAGACCCAAGCAGTGTGGCAAATGCTTTGAGAACTGAAGTGACACTGGAAACACTGCCCACCCAGAAGGTGAAATAGAACTTTTAGAATGAGCTTAACTGACTGACTGCCTGATAAAACAAATAAACAAACACCATTTTCCAGAGGATTTTAACCAGACCTGTTTCATAAGATAATAATTAAAATAACCAGCCTATAATCCAAAATTGCTTGTCATACAAAGAACCAAGAAAATGTGACCAGTTCTCAAGGACAAAGACACTCAATATAATGTTCATCTCAAGATGATCCAGATGTTAGAATTATCAGATAAACTATCTACTATACTTTAAACTATTTACTATAACTATGTTCCCTGAGTTTCCATCTGAATGCATGGAAATGATTTGAAATGAATGGAAATATAGGAGTCTCTGTAGAGAAGTATAAACTATGAAATAAGAATCAAATGGACATTTTAGAACTTAAAAATACAACCTCTGAAATAAAAAATTCACTGGATAGGCTCAATAGTGTAGTAGACAGAGAAGTGGGTCAATAGATCAATAAAAATCATCCAATCTGAAGAACAAAGAGGAAAAAAACTTTTAAAAACATCCTCAGGGACCAACAGGACACTATCAAAAGGCTTAACATTCATGTTATTAAAGCACCAGTGGAGAAGAGACCACTGCAGGAAAATATTTTAAAAAATGACTGAAAAATCCCCAAATTTGATGGAAGACATACATATTCAGATCCAAGAAGCCTCAGCAACTCCAAATAGGATAAACTCAAATATACAACAGCAAATACAACAGAGAAGAAGCATTTGTATTGTCTCTTTAAATGTGTCTATTTCCAAAAACACATGTCACATCATCCTTAGAAAATAGTAGCCTCGTCACTACTTAAAAACAACCCGTTATATGGATTATCCAAGCTGGCGTGCCTACTCTTTTGCTCCATATCACACAAACATGGCCAGTGTCTTGCAAGCTCAGGTATATGGAATATAATTTAATATCTCCATCATCACAAATTGATTTTTTATAAAAATCATCACTATTATCTTTTACTTATCACTAAATAGTTATTTAGCAACTAGAAATAATTTCTCAATTTAAAAGCTTTACTGAACCTTGTGTATTTTCAGCCTTGGGGATTTTGTCACAGACGAAATTTCCATTAGCTCTTCTGTCAAATTCATCTGAAAATGCCTGGAAGTACAAAGACAGTTTTGACTACTACAATCCTCAGTAGATGAATGAATTTAATTCATCATGGCTTTTGATCCTGCATGCACAAATATTTAGGAGAGAATAATTCTCAAGGCATTATTTATTATCATTATAGATTTTTAAAATTATGAAAACAATACATATATTATTTCTACAAATGCATCCTATGAAAATTATCAATGATGGGAACAAAGATATAAATACAAAAAAATGTAAATACATTACAGTGCTATCGATAATCAAGAAAAAATAAAACAGTTTAAAATCCATCAAAGAAATGGTCAAATAAATTTTAATATATCCACATGTTAAAATATTTAGCAGCTATTAAGAACTGCATTTTCAAGGAACAGTTAATGGAATAAGGAAATACTTTATACTATTAAATGAAAGAATAACATTAATTACATTATATAACAACACTTTGCAAAGTACACATGCATAGAAGAAGACTAGAATGAAATATGACTCAAAGAATTTATGTATTTTGTATTGTTCAAAGTTCCTATGATGAACATGTATTACTTTTAGAATCAGTAAAGGTAAATAACTTGTTAAAAGTTGTTAAAATTGCAGTGTTAACAGAAAGGCAAACACAAGGACCCAAAAACTTCAATTTTTAACTTCTTATTTGTACCAGGAGGGGAATGGCTAGGGAAGTGGTGCTTTTTGGAACAAGATGCTGATGTATGTATTTTAGGTTTAATAAATCCGTGAGTTCCATTTCTTTGCCTGGTAGTGACACCTTTTGTAAATAAGCAACAGAGAATCTTGTTGGGAAAAAAAAGTGATATTTTAGCTAAAAGGCTGATACAATAAAGAGAGAGAGACTCGGAGAGACTATAGAGCCAGAGTTTCAGGCTCACGACCTCCAGAGGTCAGGCAGGTGTGCTACAAATGTGAAGGCGGACTGATGTGACTCTGAAGGACTACACAGCACCTGTCATTCAGTCACAGTGAACTGTTCTGGCAGAAATCCATGTCCAATGTGCCAGAGCATTTAAATTTTTAGGTCACAGTGGCCATCTGGAGTTTTATATGAAATGTTTGATTTTAAAATGTTAGCAACTGATTCAGTTTTTTAAAAATAGCCCAAATAAAGCACATCTAGGTGTCATGTTCAGACCATGGGCTTTTTTTTTTACAACCTCTGCTACAGTGGCCACCTATAAACATCTCAATAAGTTTTGTTGATTTTTGTACGAATATAACCAAAGTTTAACTGTCTTTAAAAGTCTTAAGAGAGAAAGTGTCACAGTCATGTATGGAGAATTGATACTATTTCTTATGGCAGTAAAGCTGTCTGTATATATTAATCCTTTTACAGAATACCTGCAATGGACTATGAGTCTTTAGGAAAGAAAATAGGGTCTGGGGTTGCACAGAAATAGTGAGATTTGAAGATTCAGGTTCGTGTCGTAGGACTACTCCCTTATTCATCTATTCAAAAACTCTCAACACTTTATGACTCTAATTTAGTTCATTTTATGTGTTTAAATCTTAGCTCCCAAAGTAATAATGATTTCTAGGAGGGAAAGTATGTGCTACATACCCATCCCATGATCTATATCACCTTGTATAATGCAAGTCATAGGGAGGTTGTTAAAAAAGCACTTATTGACTAGAAATTACCGTAGTTATGCAGACCAACTAAGTGGACCACATATTTTGCTTGGGTGGTTTGGCTGTCTGATTAGAACGTAGGTGAGATTTCTTGCTTCCAAAGAACTTAAGGTAATATCTAGATCCAGAAAAAATTAAGTATGACCTAAACATTCAAATGGTCCAGCAATCCACAGACATCTCCTGGGTTGCTGGCTTTAATCCGTTTAATTCTTGCACTATTATGAAACTTTTAAAACATTTAATGTCATTTACTCTACTGGACTCTAATGACTTGGAGGTCAGGGATAATGACCTCTTATTAAATGTCTCTTGTTCTCCCATAACGCTGAGTCCAGTGGATCACCAATAGCTGATGTTCAGCAAATGTGAGGTGGTCAACATACTCTTTGTGACTGAAGATGATTCTGGTACTTCTGGTCCCAACTCTCCTATTCTCATGGGGATGTGCTGAGTTCATTCTAACCACACCCTTCAGTTGTATCCAATCCTGATAATCTCCTATTTACAGGACCACACTATGCTTTTATATTATGTATTAAAATTTCTATGTTCATGTGGAAGGGAATTCTATAGATTAAAAGAGGGTTTAGGGATATGTCAACTCTATTTGCAATATCTGAGCCTTATTTAGATTCTGATTCAAACAAATAAGCTATAAAAACAAAATAAAACATTTATGAGAATTAGAAATTTGAACATTGACTTGATAATGAAATAAAGGAATGATTGTCAATTTCTTTTATGTGTGAAATAGTATTGTGGTTATGTTACTTTTTAGAAAGAACTCTAATGTCTAAAATAAATACCGAATTGTTTATGGATAAAATGTATATTTGGGATTTGCTTCAAAAAAATATAAGAAGGCAAATAAATGGAGATAGAGATGAAACATATTGGCCATAGGATGATAGCAGCAAAGATGAGTAATGGTTACAAGGGCGTTTATTATACTATTTTGTCTACTTTTGTATATGTTTGAAATTTTCCTTAATAAGAAGTTAAATTTTTTTTCTATAACCATGTATTTGCTTGAAATTTGCCATGCTACAAGTAGTCTACACTACTCTCTTGCTTCCCTGTATGGGAAATACATAACACAACCTATTAGACCAAGACGACATTGGAGACCATTAAGGCTCAGTTGCCAAAATAACCAGAAATAAATGAGGCTGTACCTGAATATTCCCGTGATCATTTGGATGCAGCAGAAAGCAAACCTCTTGTAAAGTTGTCAGTTGATTCTTGCTACTAAATTTGAAAACTTCTGAAATAATTAATTCAGCAAAAACAGTTTTAGGAAAACCCAATTGTCCTGTTCCTATGGCTGGAAATGCAATTGATTTTAAGGACAAGCTCTCAGTGATTGTCAAACATTCTCTGATTATGTCTTCCATGATCTGAAAAGCACAAAACACATCCTTATACATTTTGCCTAGAAATGGAATTTAGGACAAAAATAAGAATTCAGCAGCTTTGACTATGATCTCTGCTCCTTTTTGCTTTCAACAAAAGGCAGGTTAAGGGCAGTCAGAAGGAGAAAGAAAAATATAGGAGTAGATAAAGAAAAGGAAAACAGAATGTGAGAAACCCTCCAAAAAGATTCAAACTCACTCAGTAATGAAGAAAGAAGCAAAGCAATTACTGTTTAAATTCCTCATGCTCTTCCATTCTTTATGCCCTCGCTCTGCCTTCCTCTTTAAAGATGTGTTATCGTCAGTAATTCTTCCCTGATCCCCAATAATGATTGAGTACTATAATCAATTTATATTATTAACTAGTCTTCACGAGAAGTCTGCTACAGTTGAAAGAAAGGGCCATAAGATGGAACTTGTCAAGAATGTGACGTTATTATGGAAGAGAAACAGACAGAGTCCAATCTACGTTATACTGAAAGGAATTTAAAGGGGTATCCAATTTTCTGGAGAATTTAAAACCAGGCCCTACCTTGTGTGAAGATGCGCTGCCATTTTGCCAGTCCGGAGCCACCACATGAAGCACACGCTGGCAATGCAGATTGCAACCACTGGTTTGGAGAATTGTGCCCACATTAATAGACATCCCTTGCCCAGTTGTGTTCAGTTCCTCCTGGAGCTTTGGCCCAGCTTTTTCCAAGAGGGCCCTAGAAAGGGGCCCTCTGTTAAGCGTAAGATCCGAGGGAACGGAGTTGACGACAACATCGGTCTTAAAGACAAAACCAACAATTTGTTTCAAATTCTAACAAAAACATTAATCAAGGATTACTATATTTGAGCCACTGGGCTTGGCAAAATGGGGGACAACTAAGATGATTACGTTTTCAGGACTGAAATACCACCCAAGAAAAAGTGTTATTAGATACTTATTTAAATAACACTCCAGGACAAAAGAGAAATGTCAAAAAGCAATGTATAAATGGTATAGGATCACCAAAGGACTCCAGAGGAAGTGCCTTCAGCAACTAATGAAGACACCATGAGTCATGTGGGGTCTGAAACATGGGAATAGTTGCAGCGGGCAGAGAAAGACAAGGAAGTCATTGATGAAGGGGAACAGTATGAACATATGCATGGTAGGTTGTGAGCCATGAGTGGATTAGTTTGACCCGACAGAGAATTTCTGCAGTAAAATGGCATAAACAAGGCTGGAAATGTTGGGGATAGACTCTGCAGAGGGCTTCGAGTGCCAGGCCAACTGGACTTCCTGACAG